TACTCAAAAGACTTGCTTGAAATTCCATTGACCCTAAAATAACTATCTGGAAGGCAAAAATGACTATCTGGAAGTCAGCATCCTCAGAGTACATTTCAGATGCAAACTAGAGTATGTCAGTGTAAACTAGGAAAGTCCAAAGCCTTTGTTTGAGTAAAACTAGACGCAGCAAAACCATGGGCTCCATGCATGATTAGTATTGTAAGAGAGGCCACAGGGAGTAGAATTAAATATAATACCCTTGGCCAGGTGCAGTGGCTCACACCTATAATCCCAACACTTTGTGAAGCCGAGGTGGGCACATCATTTGAGGTCAGGAGTTCGAGAGCAGCCTGGCCAACATGGTAAAACCTCGTCTCTACTAAAAATACAAAAATTAGCCAGGTGTGGTGGCGGGTGCTTGTGATTCCAGTTACTTTGGAGGCTGTGGCAGAAGAATCACTTGAACCCAGGAGGCAAAGGTTGCAGTGAGCTGAGATCACACCACTACACTCCAGCCTGGGCAACAGAACAAAATTCCATCTGCAAAGTTTCTTCTAAACTTGATTTAAGGCACCATATATCACAAACCAGATGGCAAGAAATTAAATAAATTTTAGCCTTTTTCATGCTATCCAATTACATTTTAGTCAGTTCACAAACATGTTTTGGCAAATGCTGGAGGAATTTTTCTCTCTTTAGGAGTCCTCTCTCACTTTATCCTGCTTAATAAAAGACCTCACACACTTACAAAAGGATGGAGACAGCTTCAGCACATCCTACATGGAGAGAACCAACTGACCCAAAAAGAGAGGGCTCCACACCCCTATGACAACTCCAAACAAATGCCTGAAGTAAGGAAGTCCATCAAGAAAATGAACAGTTGGTGAGATCAAGACTTCTGACCCAAAGGGCCTGCAGCTGGTCTGACGATTCATCAAAAATTCTGAATTTAAATGGAGACACATTGAACTGTGACATGCATTAAAAGAACTGAAACAGCAAAGAGTCTTGATTTGGGTTTCCTTTCCACCCTATACAGCTCCAGTGAATGGAGAAGTGAGCATGTCTGTGGTACTCCTGGTACATCTGGGGTAGTTCCCATCCACAGTGGTCAACCTTTGGGATTTTCCACACACTGTAGGGTCATTGTCCATCTATGCTAACCTAGAATGTCCAGATAAAATCTTCTGTTTAGAGGCTGGAGAGAAAATGGTCAAACCTGAAAGCCCACAAACTCTCTCAGTCACGGGGGAACACATGTAGGAAACACTACAGAATCTGACATCAGAAGCCGAATTTCAGGTAGACCCCTACAGCTTTACGATTGTGAGTAATCAACTTACTTTCTCTAGGCCCTGTTATTCTCACATCAATAATGAGAAAAGCAACCAAATAGTCTCCCAGATCAATTCCAATGTTACGGAGCTTACATTTTAGTGAAGGTGGGGGAGTCAGACATCAAATAGGAAATATGAATTAAGGATATATTTTATGCAGGGCAGTGTTGGGATTCACTCAGGGTGGCTGGAAAACTATTAAGGGAAATATTAGGGAAGTTATAGAATATAGTCTCAAACCTTTGGAAAGCCAAAAGTTTTAATGAGATAGGCTGAAGACAGCCAGTTCTTACATTAGAGCTTTATGTCATAAGGTAAAGAGTAAGATAACAAAAGCTTCCCCAGTTTACCCCACATTCCTTTTTCTCTACTGTGTTTACTCATGTAAACTTCATGCTAGATGGACCTCTAAGGGGGAGGTTGAAAAAGAGTTACTTCTTAATGGCGTTTATTCTGGACCCCAGAACCAAAAGTTTTTATCATTCTTAAAAACATTCTTTTAACCATGTTAATTATGCACAAGCATGTTAACTTAAAACCTCTGTTATTACCTCTATACTGAATAAATGCAAGAAGGAACAAGGAGTCAATTAGCTGCAATCACTCTCTAAAAGCAGTTGACGACCCCCTAGCCCAACCCTTACACTGAATTCTGTATGTAAGGGCATATTTTATTCATCTGATACTTACATTAAATAAATGTTTGTTTAATAAGTGAAACTAAATGTTAATTGTAAATATGAAGAAGTGATGATGAGAGGGGAACAAAAGGCCCATCTTCATCAAATTAATCTCTTCTTAGGGAAGACACTAATTTGTTTCTGCAGATTATCCTCTTACCTTTTAATAACAAATTTATTTTGATTGCCCACTTGAATGATGTTTTCCAGCCTTGGGATTCCCTATCATGCGGGAATTCTGAAAGGAATGTTTCCCAGTAGTTCTTCCACATACAGATCATTCACATATCCTTCAAATTTTTGGTCTTAAAAAAGATCTTCAAAGATCTTCAAAGATTAAACTTCGTTTTTCAATATCCTTAAAAAGAACAGAAAGAAAGAAAATCATTATCGACAATAAAGAACATAACCTAAGCTGGTGTGCAGTGGTATGATTTCGGTTCCTTGCAATCTCCGCCTCTCGGGTTCAAGCAATTCTACCTCAGTCTCCCGAGTAGCTGAGATTACAGGTGCCCACCAGCATGCCTCTCTGATTTTTGTATTTTTTTTTT